TCTAGACAATTCCATTACCAATGTGAGCACCTCCTCCATTACCTCAGTTTTAGATGTTCTACTCTATCACCTCCAACTCTTTATCTTTCCAGCCCACTCCCTGTGGTGATTTATGGCCTACAAAACATTGATGCTTACTGAGATATCAAATTCAGTGACCATGCGACCTTTTCATTGTCATAAATCTCTCGTGTCTCATTTCCTATTTTACGTATCTTAGACGATTTACTAGGGTTAATAATAATAATTTCCTTATCTACAACTACAAATTCATTGCTTATCCCTTCATTCATCAGACATATCTGGAAAACCTAGTCTGGTTAAATCCAACTCTACCTACTCTAAACTTGCATAGAGGCAGCTGAATGGTCACATTTTAAGTGGTCTTATTTTATATTTTTGAATTATAACTTCCCAGCACTCATACTAATCAATATATTCTGCAAATCTCTTACAAGATTATCCCTAATTTCTCTTCCTTTCTCAATTCTCAAATTTATTCTCTCTTTCCTCAAACTCAATTGATGACCTGGTTTCTTATCATCTTGAGAAAAGAAAAGCATCAGCAGAGGATTTCCTCTGTTCCACTAACTACTTATACAAAAAACATTTTACTTCTGTATGTAAGGCAATATCATTTTCAACCATTTTTCGTGGTTAAATTGTACAAACTCTTATCTATGGTCAGTCTCCATCTGTACATTGAAATACATTCTGTCTACCTACTTAAAGAATTTTAACTTGTAATTTTCTCTCTCTGGAATCGTTATTTTTTTTTTTGTTTTTTGATCTCTACTGGTTCATTCACCTTAACCTGCAAATATGATATATTTTTATCCCATTTTAAAAATAAGCCAAAAAGTTTTTTTGCTTAGCCCCCCACACACATACATACAATTACCCCTTTTCTCTAATTCTCTTAACAACAAAAGGGTTCAAAAAGCTGTCTATGCCTGCTGTTTCTTCCTACTTTTCCTGAAATCACTTTAATTGGGCTTGTTCCCTCACTATTTCTATCAAAATACTCCTAAGTCACCATTAACTTCCGCATTAACACATCCAATGGCTATTTCTCAGGATTCATTTTACTAAACCTATAAGCGGCATTTGACATAACTGATTATTCCCTTTAACTTAAAATTCTTCTACAAATTACTTTGTTCTCCAGGACTTCATTATCTTGTTTTTCTTTTTGCTTCACTATCTAGTCCTCCATCAGATTTGCTGATTTCTCCTTACCAGACTTCAAAACGCTATTGTGCCCCAGAGTTCAGTCCTTGGCCCTCTATCGTCTGCACGAGTTCTTCTAGATTCATGGCTTCAAGTAATAGCCATACATAGATGACCTCCAAATGTATGTCTTCATTTCAGCGTTTGATCTCCAGGACTATTTATCTGACTGGAGACTTGGATATTTATTTAGATATGTTACAGGATTTTCAAACTTACATCAAAAAAAAAAAAAAAATGAACAACTTTTTCCCAATGGTTTCACTCTACGTTTCTCCGTCTCAGTAAATGAAAACTTCATACTTACACTTCCTCAGCCAAAAACCTAAAATCACCTTTGACTTCTCTTGCCACTCTAACATGAATTAAATCCATCAGAAAATACTGTTCATTGCAGAAAATAAGGGGACACAGGTATTAAATATGGAAGTATTGTTGATTTGGGACACAAGAAAAGAAATACTGAGTTTTACATAATAGGAAGTTATATTCTCACTCTGTTCTTCAATGACCATTCCATTCCCACATATTATGCCTATTTCAGAGAACACTTTTAAAGAGGGGCCTATATTGGATAGTACCCAGAGAATGGGTAGAATAGGAATTAATTCAAAATTATTTACAAAAAGTAATGGAAAAAAGTGAAGATTAAATCTGGACACGTCAAAGACCTAGAGAAAAGATAAAAACAGAAAAAAATGGCCACAGGGAGGAGCCAGAGGATGAATATCGGATAGAATTTATTTTGAAATGTATATTCATCCAATGAGGATAATAAAATACCCTGATTAAAATAAAGGGCTATGAAGACAGACTGATTGCTTCAAATCCCAAATCAACATTTACTTGTCCAATGACTTTGGCAAGTCACTTAACCTCTGTGCTTTATTTTTCTTGTTAATAAAATTGGTGTAATACCTACCACAAAGGTAATTAATACAAGCACATAGAAACAATAACAAATGATAGCTATCACTATTATTATATCAGAAATAAGCTTAAATTATTCTGGATGATCTTAAAAATGGAAGAAACCTATGCAATTGCTCAAGTACTTCTAGTGAAGGTTTAAACAAACCGATTCAAATGGGCACAACAAGGGCCAGCCCCAAGCCTCACCAGTAAAGTTCTATTATATGATTTTTTTCATAGCACTTATCATCATCTGAAATTATCCTGCTCTTTTCTTTCTTGGCTTCTTTGCTCACCACCCTCCACTAGAATATAACCTCAATAAGAACACAACTACTGTGTAAGTTCTGTTCACAACTTAATCCCCAGGAAATAGACTAGTGCCTGGGACACACACAGTGGTCAACAAAAATATGTTCAGATAACTGATTAATTGTCCTTGCAATGTAAATTTTGTAGTGATTTTATTAGGACACTTTATGTCCCAATATGCTGTGACATGAATCCTCAGTTCAAATACACTTGATCAATTCACTTTTCTTGGTCACATCATACTCTTTCAAATTTTCATAGCTTTGTTCAGATATTTGCCCTGCCTGATAAACATTCCCCTTTCCTCTCTCTCTTTATGCAATCTTTGTCTTTCCTTCAAATCTTAAGTCAAGTCTTACATATTCTATTTGATTATTATTATTGTTATTATTTGTGTGTGTGGGCTTGTGTGAGGAAGATCAGCCCTGAGCTAACATCCATGCCAATACTGCTCTTTTTGCCGAGGAAGACTGGCCCTGGGCTAACATCTATGCCCATCTTCCTCCACCTTATATGGGAGGCCGCCACAGCATGGCCTGACAAGCGGTGCTTCGGTGCACGCCCGGGATCCGAACCAGGGCTGCCAGCAGTGGAGCGCCCGCACTTAACCGCTACGCCACGGGCCGGCCCCCCATTTGATTATTATTTAACTTTTTTACTTACAGATATTTTGTAAGCATGTGCATGATAAACTTCTCAGTGTTATGGATGCAGTCTAACACATTTTTTTCCTTCATTTTCTCTACTATGTGTAACAAAATGCTCTGCCACAGTTGTTATCTGATAATTATTCATTGTTTGGTTCATTAACTTTTAATAAAATGCATTCTGCTTTTCAATCCACATGTTTAAGCTTTCTGAAAATTTAAGAAAAATATTAATTATCCTTTTTTTCATG